GTCGATTACATCTAGCGATGGCGCTGTGAAGAAGGTTTCCAAGGCCGAGATTGCAGAGCAACTTAATCAGAGTGAAAAGCTGTTGACAGATCTCAATCAGACCTGGGAGCAAAAACTGCAAAAGACGGAGGAGATCCACAAGGAGCGAGAGGCTGCACTCGAAGAACTCGGTATCAGCATTGAAAAGGGCTTCATCGGACTTTCCACTCCGAAGAAGATGCCCCATTTGGTCAACCTTTCAGACGATCCGCTACTTGCCGAGTGTCTAGTGTACAACCTCAAGCCAGGTTTGACCACGGTTGGAAATATGGACACCAATGCTGACAATCAAGCAAACATTCGTCTTAACGGGACTCGTATCATGCACGACCATTGCGCTTTCGAAAACGGACCCGACGGTACCGTCATGGTCATTCCGAAGGAGGGAGCGTCTGTCATGGTCAACGGCAAACGAATCGAGGAGCCTAAACAGCTGCACTCCGGTTATCGTGTTATTTTGGGTGACTTCCATATTTTCCGCTTTAATCACCCTATGGAAGCCCAAAAGGAAAGAGCAGACAAGAACCTTTTGCGTCAATCTGTGACGGCTAGTCAGTTGCAGAATCTCGAAAAGAGCATGCCGACGCCAGCTGTCAGCCCGCGACCAGGACACGAACGGAACTGGAGCAAAGCTGGTTCAGACTTTGGCGACAGTCGGCCGGACTCTCCGATACCGTTTCGTGCTGGACGTGACAACGACTTCATGTTTGCAAGACGAGAGGCAGCAGAAGCTATATTGGGCCCGAACCAAAATTTGGCTAGTCTCACTGACGAGGAGCTCAATGCACTATTCGAAGGAATTCAACGAGCGCGTGCCGAGCGTGTCAACGTTCGCGATGGGGATGATGACACGGAATCTGTCACCTCATATCCGATTCGAGAAAAGTACATGTCGACTGGCACAATTGATAACTTCTCTCTCGATACCGCCCTCACGATGCCCTCGACTCCAAAGCAGGGTGAAGTAGACGACAAGTTGAGGGAAGTGCGAGAGGAGATGCAATCTCAGCTTGACCGACAGAAAGAGGAGTACCAAGACCAGCTTAAGACAGCTGAAGCGGCCAACGTCGAAGTGGAGGAGATCAAGAAGGAAAAGGTCAGGATGGAAGAGACCTTACAGTCACTCAAGGAGGATATGCAACAACAATTGGAGGTGCAACGTCGCCAATTCGAAGAGAAGCTCGAAAAAATGGATCCCTTGAAGAGGCCAAAGGCAAATCCCAAGCTCTCCGACGAAGAAATCGAGACTGCAAAGCAAGTCGTGAAGCTGTGGCGGACTAGGCGCTACGTTCGCATGGCAGAAGCAGTACTGCAACACGCCTCAACTTTGAAGGAAGCGCAGATCATGAGCAACGAGCTTGACGAGGGTGTAGTTTTCCAATTCACTGTCGTGGACCTCGGCCATTCCCTTTGCTCTACCTACGACATGGTTCTGAATGGGTTGACTGGCGAAGGAGACGACATCCCCCTCGAAGAAACACAAAAGCCATGCATCGGCGTGCGCGTTGTTGACTACAAGAACTGCGTTGTGCACCTTTGGAGTCTGGAGAAGCTACACGACCGGGTTAGACAAATGCGGCAAATGCACCAGTATCTTGACCAGCCAGAGTATGCTCAGCACTTGAGTCTTGATAACCCCTTCATCGAGACTTGCATGCCGCAGTATACGCTTGTAGGAGAGGTCGACGTGCCGCTAAAGGCTGTCTTTGAAAGCAGGGTTCAAGACTTCGCCCTGGATATTCTCTCTCCCCATACGTCCCATGCCATCGGCATGATCAAGCTTTCGCTGGAGCCATCGCACGCTAGAGCACCATCCAACACGCTGAAATTCAATGTTGTGATGCACGAAATGGTCGGCTTCGCCGAAAGAGAGGGCACGGAGGTTCATGCTCAACTGTTCATCCCTGGGGTCTCGGAGGAAGATGGCATCACCACTACACAGTGGGTCAAAGATTTTGACGAAGGGCCTATCCGCTTTGAGAGCGTACATAGTATGAGCGTTCCTCTTTTCAGCCCGCAAACCGTCACCCTCAGAGCAGCTATTTTCGCCAAAGTTTCAGCAATGCACCTGGACAAATTACTGAGCTGGGATGACATGCGCGATGCTGTACCATTGTCCAGAGGAAAAGGCAAGGGAGCGCGCATCGCCGAGTCACAATTTTTCACCGAAGAGAAGCACGACGTATTGGCAAGGATACAGATTCTCGAACTGAACGAGGAAGGAGAGTACGCACCCGTTGAAGTAGCCCAGACGAGTGAGATGGACGGCGGTACTTTCCAACTTCACCAAGGGCTCCAACGCCGCATTGCCATCAACATTACGCACAGTTCTGGCGATGCTCTGCCCTGGGACGACGCGATGAATCTGAGGGTGGGTAAGGTTCAGCTTCTCGATCAGTCAGGAAAGTCGCCAGATATGACGTCAACGTCACCTACCGTCACCCTCAAGCTCGCCAACAAGCCTGCCTTCCGCGATAACGCCAACGGTACTCGAAGCATCACGCTAACCGGCCAATGGGATTCGAGCTTGCACAACTCCCTGCTTCTGGATAGAGTCACCGCGGATAAGTATCGTGTTCAGATGACGGTTGCCTGGGAGATTAGTTCCAGCAAGTTTGCGGAACCGATGAAGTTTGCGATGCATGTCTGCTGCCAAATCATGTCAAGATCATGGGTGCGACAGACGTCAATGTTCTCCTCGCTGTGGCAAAGCGTCCGTTTCGTTCATGCAACTAGTGCTATATTCACACTGTCGATGCGGCCGGCTCCTATCAAGAGAATAGGCGACTTGTGGCGGATGAGCAGCCAGCACGACTACGTGAAAGGAGAAGAGCAGCTCACTACCTGGACCCCCCGAGGAGTCTCCCTGGTTAGCGACTTCATTCTTTCTCGCAAGAAGAGAAAGCGAATTGCGGAAATCGGAGCAGTGCAGACCCTCCTCAAGAAGATTGGTCTGCCAGAGCCGAAGGTGAAGGCGACAGAGGAGGAGACACCAGAAGAAGACCTGCCGCCTCAACCCACGTATCAAAACGACGATGACGATCTGTTGAACGACACACCAGAGAGCTCGCAGGTGCCAGAGGACGACGAACTTCTCAACGGAGACGGGCAAGAAACGCCACAGCCAGAGGGGGAAACTGAGGCAGTGCAAACACCTCAAGAACCAGAGATACCTGAGCGAGAGAAGCACATCCTTGAGAAATGCATCAAGCTCTGGAATAAGTACCCTGATCCGCTGCTGCAGATTCTCAGCCCAACGAATACTGATCCGCCGACGGACGGCTCTGCACCGGAGGCTTCCGCTCCGCCGAGCCTGATCCCTACGATTATCCGAGTTCCGAAGAACCCCAAGGTACTCAAGGGCGGCTATCTGCTAATTCCTAACAGCAGCTCTACGAGATGGGTTAAAAGATTTGTAGAACTGCGACGGCCATACCTGCACATCCATTCTGTCACTGATGGGGATGAAGTGGCCATCGTCAGCCTACGAAACTCACGCGTCGACAGCCAGCCTGGCGTTATCGGGCTCTTGTCGGGTGACGACGATGACACGGGTTCGCAAACCAATGGCAGTGTAGAAGAATTCCGCCCGAGCCATAGACGAACTGCGTCTGGACGTGTCATCTCAACCATTTGGACAGGCACCGGTACAGGTGGCGCAGCCAACGGGCCTGGTGGAGGCTTGCAAAGGCTAAGTGAGCGACTGCAAGCTGGAGTTTTCGCGATTTACGGCACGGACAATACTTGGCTGTTTGCCGCACGTAGCGAGCGGGACAAGATGGACTGGATCTTCCGCATCGACCAGAGCTACTTCTCGAGCAGCGACAGCGCCAACGGCAGCGGATCGGGCACCCCCGATAGGTATGATGATTCCCTCATCGGCGGGTACTGATTCTGGGGACCAGTCATGAGTTCATCAACGAACCTCTTTTGTCCTATCTTACCAGTCTAGAAAGACGAAACCCCAATTTGAAACGACGGCATTGCATGAGCATTGGGCTCACGCTCATTTCAACCACATTTTCTCTTTGTTCCGTTTGTATAACGCACGACACGACTTGCAGTATACCCTCTATGGCTTGGAAAATAGGATTGCGGAGGGGAGAGAGCAGGAGGAGGAAGAGCTGAGACGGAAGACGGAAGTCGGAAGACAGCCAATAATTGTCTTTTGGTTTGGGAGAGGTTGGCTATAGACGAGGTGGACGGACACGCAGGAAAGAAACCTGCGGCACAACGAATGACACAAAAATCTAGACAAAGACAGAGAGCTGCCCCTTGGGAAAAGAGGGGGATGCAAATGAGGCCAGCCTGAGGCAATCTGCGCTCGTTCTTCTTGGCTGCTACGAAGACTTGGATCCCCGGCTTGTGGCTAGGTGAGAGGGCTTGCACGATGTTATTCCACAGTCAAGCTGCTTGGATACTGCATATAGTTTTACGAAGATATATCTAATGATTAAATGGTTCGAAGCAAGATCGTCGAGTTAATGGAATTAATTTCTGGGGTGTGGGAAATAAACGTCTATTCTGGCGTACACATGGCTTCAAAGCCGTTTAGATGTCTACGTCTACCGTCTTCGCCAATGCGTTGCGGCATAGCCCATTCAGAGTCTCCTCCGCACCAATCATACGTGCTCATCTGTCCCCGAGGTTGGTAATGTACGACGAAGTTAGCCGCTCTCTACACCCAGAGAGGTGTCGAAGCTGCCCGGGACGCAGAGGTCTCGCGCGCCCTGACGGCATTGACTCTGCACGAATCAGCTGAACCCATATCCATGGATAGATCCCACAGCCCGTCGAATTCTACCCAAGAGTACTCGGGGAGAGATCACGTTGCTTCGTCCATGGCTCGCTCCCCATTGCGCTATAAAAAGAAGGCCGAAAATAAGAAGCAAATGCTCAATACAAGAACTGGTACATGAATCCGACTGAAGTTAAACTAAGAATGAATGTCGATTTAGGGATTACAACTTTGCGCTCTCGGCGACTTCGCCAATCTTGAGCTTGCCGCCGTACTTTTCGAGCACCTTTTCGTTGTGGTACTTCCAAAACACCTTTGTCGCGTTCTTGCCGGCGAAGCGCTTGAGGATCTTTTCGCCGCCTGGGTGCTCTGATTGGAAGGCTGGAAGAAGTTTGTCAGCATACGGAGTAGATCATGGGTGATGGCGAGGAAGCGTGTGTGGTGATGAGAATGAGAGAGAGAGCGGGAGGCGATCTTGGCGGAAATTGGGGGGCCAACTGCGGCCATGATGAGGATGCGTGAGTGGTCGCCGTACCTGTGATGTCGTAGACGCCGTTCTCGACAATGAGCCACATGTCCTTGTCGGTCTTATGCTGGGCGACCTCTTGAGTGGTGAACGTCTTGGACATTTTGGCGGTGTTTAGAAGGGGTTGCGTGAGGGGTTCGGTAAATTGCGTTATTGTAAGCCGAGTGTTGACAGGCTACTGGTAGTATTGCAGGTATAGGTCGTGAGATGCGTGGTGAGAAGTTGGTGTGAGGTTGAGGAGAGTTGGAAGTGAGTCGATGAAGAGGAAAACGACGAAAATGGGGGAAGCACGGGGTTTGGTGTTGGCGTTTGTTCGGTGTCGTCGCAGCGGCAATGCACCACACGCTGAACTGCACTCACCGGTCCGAGTGCGTGCGGTGCTGGGCGCGCGCGTGGTTGTGTGTGCCGTCTCACCTTTTGTCGAGTCAAACTTACCTCGGCTCATCTAGGCGCGAACAACGGGGCGACGTCATTCGATTCGTCTGCTGCTGATTGGGGGTGGGCGACCTGACTCCGCCGGCACTAAAGGCCCCAAGGGTGAGGGGAGCACGGGAGGAAACCTGGAGTAGCGAAATGCGGGAGCAAATCACGAGACTCGCATTTCTCATCGGCACAGCTCAGCTTGCAAAGATCCGAGGCTCCGCTGGAGTTTGTGTCCGTACCACCCTTGAATAGAAATGCTGGTAATGCTGGGCTTTTGGGTGTGTGTGACCTTTACTTTTCTAGCCTTTTTTTGTTTTGCAATTACTTCCTGGGCCAAGGGTATCCGGGGTATTGCTAGGGTCGATCAGGCACATGGGATTATGGGAACGATGCCGAGGGCAGATAACAGCCTTGTTGGCCATACCGGGTAGAGATCATGGTACGCGGATCTTCTCTCTCTTAGTACCTGCACACATCTATCAAGATGATGAGCGGCGATGTTAGTGCAGTGTATAGGGGAAATTTCGGACAAGAGAAACGAAATGCAGAAGCAAATCCACAGGAGCACCATACCATGACCAATCCCGTCTAAACCTCAGCGCCAAAAACACCTAGCTAACTATGCAAGTGTGCTCGCATGCCCATGAGGGGAGAGCTACTCTAAAATTGTGCAATCATGCTTCCTTTATCCAGCGCCCGTCTAAACATGTTGGCGAACCCAGCGTTTCCCTGGCAGTCGCTTGCCTCGTACTTTTCTATGGCCTTGGGCATCCACTTCCGGTAATCCTCGATTCGATGTTCATTCTAATGATAGCTGTTAGAAATGGACAAAATGGAAGGGGGAAAGCTTGCGGCTCGAAGGAAAAGTAGATCAAGACAAACGCAAGAAAAAACATACCGAAGGATGCGTGCTCATAAACTCTGGAACCTCCTCTGCTTGCCCCTGCTTAGCCGCCATATCCATACGCTGCCAAAACGCAATGGCCTCGCGCGGGTCGTAACACGCCTCCGCCATGAGCATCAGCCCAATATAGTCCGCCTCGCTCTCCTGCTTTCTCCCCATCGGCCGCGCAAACATGAGATCCATGAACCCGGTGCCCAGGTACTGCACGAGTGCCATGACCGGCGGGAACATGCCCGAAAGTATCACCATGCTGCCGAGAAAGATGTTGGGCCCGATGGACTGCGTCCAGCGCTCGCCGACGTGCTGCGCGAGGTTGTGCGCGATCTCGTGGCCCAGCACCGCCGCCAGCCCGTCCTCGTTGCGCGTCAGGCGCAGGATGCCGCTGTGCACAAAAACTTTACCGCCGGGGAGCACGAACGCGTTGAGGGTTGTGGGGTCGTCAATCACGCGGACCTCCCAGTCCTGGTCCTCGAGCCCGGAGACGGGAATCAGCCGGCGCATGACGCGCTGCACCATTAGCACGCGCGGGTCCCACGAGGGGAGGAACCGGCCGCCCTGGGACTCGACGTCGTAGATGACGCGCTTGACCTGCTGGGCCGACAGCGTCTCGACCGAGGCCTCGGAGTAGCAGTTGAAGCGCCTGCGGCCCGAGACGGGGACGGTCTGGGTGTTGAAGTATACAAAGGCGATGCCCGCGAGGACGGCCACGACGGCGGTGCCGGCGAAGCCACGGGACTTGAAGAAGCGCCCGATGTCGTCGACCGTCATGAGAGGCTTAGCGGTGCGGATGTTGTATTCTCGGAGGACTTCGCGGTGGGCCGGGTTGCGGGGGTCGTAGCCGCCGGGCCCCTTCCCCGCAGCCGGCCGCCGGACCGTCTGGGAGAAGAGTCGGGGATATTGTTGTTGTAGCTGGGCATTATTTCGTATTACTGGGAAGGGAGGGATTCGGGCTTGCTGTCGTGTGGCGGGGAGGGAAAGGCCGGCGAGTTGACGGGGCGCGGCGCGGAGGGCGGGCGGCCGCAGGAGAGCGCGGAGGGTGAGCATGGCTGCGGGCGCAAGGGCTCGCGCCGGAGAAGCGGGCTGGGCCGGAGGATAGGCGCTTCTTTCGTTGCCTCGGCGTAAGAGCCTTTACGCAATTGACGAGCGGGTGCAGCTGTCGCAAGCGGGAATCGAGCGTGGGATTGTGCGATGTGAAGAGCTTCGTTGATGCTGTCATCATTTCGGAGTTCTTGCACGGAAAGAGCTGACAACGGCGATAACGATAAGAAGTGTGGCGTCGGAAATTTTAACCCAGCCACAGCAGGGTCAATTCTTCAAGGTAGCACTGTTGGTACGTCCACAAGGATTACAATCCGTCAACTTTTGACTTTTGGTATTGTAAGCATTCAACCCTTGCGCCATGGGATGTCTAAGCATCATTCGTAGCTTCACTTCATGTCGCCTGAAATCATCAATGCCATGAAATCTCTTTGGGCGCCACCCTCAGTAACGCCAGTCTCAAGCGAGCATCCAGGTTCCTTAGCAGAGATGACGACCTGTGAATAATCACTGGATTGGTCCTCGGTTCTGTCACCTTGCACATGGCTGGCTGTTCCTTGTCCACGGGTAGTTATCGTGAGGATCACTCTAATTGCTGACCTACTAGAATGGGTCTTTCATCCGCTCCTTGTGATCAATCTTCCCCGGTACCCTGCTAGGGTCAGTAGCTCAGACCGTCAGCTTATGGGGGTGACAATTCCCTCACACTTAGGAAGATTTTGGTAATGCGCTGGAATATTGTGAAGATTTTTGATTCCTTGAGTTCAATATCGACTTAGTTCTGGGTTTGCTCGAAATCTTAGACCCGTTTACCTTTTGCCTCGTATTCTCTCATAGACCTCATATTCCAAGACTCTCTGAACACGTAGGAACCCCGTAACATATAATAATGGGCTCCATCCCTCTCCCAGATCTCTCCCACATATCCCCCTCCGCCCTACCCACCCCCCACGATCCCCCCTCCACCGCAAAGATCGTCTCGGCCCTCTCCCTCCACGCTCACTACGAAGGCGGCTTCTACATAGAGACAGACCGCGCCCCAAGCTCGATCCCCTCCCCGTTTCCAGCAACGCCCGCCTCAGCCTCGAACGTGGCAGCACCCTCGACCAACGATCCGGACTGCCCTCCACTGACGACCGAGCAGCAGAGGCGGGCCCTCTCGTCCGCGATATTCTACTACCTCACCCCAACTTCGCCGATAGGCCACTTCCACCGGAACCGCTCGCGCATAACGCACTCCCTGCACCGCGGCCGCGGCCGCTACGTCGTCCTCCAGCCGGACGGCGCAATCGAGAGTTTTGTCGTGGGCGGCAACGTCGCTGCAGGCGAGAGGTTACAGTGGACCGTCGAGGGGGGCGCTTATAAGGCCAGCTTCGTGTTGCCGGACGAAGACGAGGGCGCATCGTCGTCGTCGGTGGCGTCTTCGAGTGAGGGGTTGCTGGTTACCGAGGTCGCTGTACCGGGGTGGGAGCCTTGTGATCAGAACTTTTTAACGCAGGAGAAGTTGTTTGAGTTGGTGGGTGAGGATAAGGCGAAGTGGCTGGAATGGTTGATCAAGAAGGAGTAAATCAAGACTCTGAAAGGTAGGAAAAGGAATAGATTGGGGTATTGAACGCTAGGAAGGAATTTAAAGAACAAGTATGGTATCTTTTTGTGCTATGCAGTATGTTTCTAAAGTCATCATCGTACAGGCCTATGTGCGCCGCTCAAACCGTTGATTCGTATTGCGTCTGCAACTTCTCGCAAGTCTACATGCACAAATATCGTTGCGAGCTATCCTGAGCTCTTATTGCACGCGTGCTGGTGGTTCTCGTTTGAAGCACGGCCTAGTCTAAATTGTCGTCTGACAAGTTTGTCGTGGAAATCAGAAAGGGAAAAGCGGGAAGATAGCCTAGGACTCCGGCTTCGCCATACGTAAAGAACGCCCCGTCTATTAGAAAGTTCGTTAGATCATGTAACTCGCTTCAGTCGGTCATTTCCTTGTTCTCTGACGGACTTTGCGCAGGAATGGCTTCATCCGGGTATGGTTTGCGACCCCATACAACCCAGACATGCTGATAAGCATGTATTTGCATGTTGGAAATGTCTCTGCGGACATCGACCAGAGAAACCTATGTCACAAACTGCATGTCAGAAAACAAGAATGGAATATCGAATAATTCCTCTCGAGTGAGACTTACCTGCACCTCTTCCTGCTGTCTTTCCAACACCTGCGTAAAGAGTGCCATGCTGAATCCGCTGAGGCCGTCCAAGAAATTCTGCTCCCAGAGCCTCCCGACATGCTTGTGCCTGGGGTGCTTGGCCCAGCCGTTGATCGGGATCTTGAAGACGCGCTGGTGGACGTCCACAAAGCCCACCTCCTCATACCACTCTCGCAGCATGTGTGCTCTGGACAAGGGGCGCCCAATCATCTCACTGGCGAGGTTCATGTCGTCCACCCAGCGAGATAGAGGTGAGTCGGGGGCAAGTGTGTCGTCGTCGCTCGTCGCCTCGAGGTTGAAATCCTGGGACTCGAGCCAGCCGCCCGGGCGCAGGGAGTCGAAAGCCTGGCGTATGACTTCGTTTTTGAAATCGCCAAATGACCCGAGCAGAACGCGGGTGTGGACGTAGTCGAAGGGTTCTTCCCATTGCCACGATTGTGCGCTGCCGGTAGAAAGGTCAGGACAGTGTGTACAGGGGAGAAACCGTTGTCAGATGAAATGTCACAACACTCACGCATCTTCGATGTAAAAGTGAACGTTTGGTGGAACGGCGTTACTTTGGATCGGTGACAGGTCGATACCGACTATCTTGGCTTCCGGGTACACATCTCCCATATCCATGGCCCATGCCCCGGTACCTGTGCCGACGTCGAGGATCCGCTTGGTACTCCCTTCGACGGCGATCGGGGCGAAGTGTAACCTGCCGCTGAACAATTCTGTGAGTGCAAGCGATTGAAGGTCTAGACGCTCCTGCTCTGCAGGGTCGTTGGGGAAGACATAGGCTGGATGGAGTGTGTGAGCTTCTCGAATACGAGCCGAGTAGAGGGAAAGCTACGGAATACTTACAGCCTGCTCGATATGCATGATACGTCCTACCGAAATGTCTGGGAAAACACTCGACGTCGTCGGGTAGTGATTCAGTCTCCCTGCACGAACGTTGTTAGTCAGTGTAGATGAGGCTAAAGTAGTTCCGCGTGGCAGGCATTACCCCTCATGAGGATCGGGCTGGTGGAGTTTGTTAGTGACATGAGACGAACGATGGGTAATTAGACCTAGTTTTTTGGGGAGATAACATAAGGGGTCCAAGTCAAAACGTACGTCAACTTCAATGTGGCTGTCGTGCAGGGATGACTTGTCGGGGATTGCCTCAAATGTAAACTCGAAACCATGAAGACGACCATCGGCGACACCTGGTGGGAGAAAGGACATGACTGTGGTCTGCGACATGAACAAGGTGACACAAGATGAGGTGCGAAGCTCGAAGCTCGAATGGCGGGCTATGCTGGATACTTTAGCTGGGCGCTATGTATCCGCCTCCCGGAGCTTTTTATCTGCGAGCTAACGTTGACGGATTCGGAACGACGGTTGTTCGATTCCGGTTGAGCGCCAGCCTCATGGAAGACTGGATGGAACGAGTGGATGCGATTGTGTCGGCTTCTTCGCGATCGATCGCCGACAAGATGATTGGAACAAAGGAGAAGACGCTTCTGGCGTCGTTCTTGTAACGCTGCGGTGGAATTTGTGCACGTGTCTTCGGAGAGTTAAGTTGAAGCGTTTTGGTGCTGCTGCTGATGATGATGATGTAGTCGCCACCCTCTTCGCAGCTATTAAGACAATTGCGAATCTGTTGTAAAGGAGCGGGGGATACAGTTGGACATCAAAGATGAACGGCGAAGAATCGAACGGCCTAGCAGATAACGAGGAGAATCGGAGCCGAGAAGGTTCGCAAGAGCAGTGGCAAATAAGGGCGAACACCAGACCAGATCCCGATGGAAAAACAAAGTTTGGATTATTGAGCTCGAGGTTGAGGTTGTTGAGGTAGGTGGAGGGCGGGAGGGGGGGAAGTGTATGAGCTTTGTGTGTGTGAGTGAGTGTGAGTGATTGAGTGAGTGAGTGAGTGGGTGGATGAGAGTGTCAGAATCTCAGGGTGAGCGAGCGATGGACCCAGACAGCTGGGTCGGTCTTGGTCGGTCTGAACCCGCGAGGGCGGGAAAGGCGGGAACGAAAACACGGGGAGACCCAGACACCCAGACTTGCCAGACCCAACGGGTTGGAACTTGGGACTTGGGTTGGTGTGGTTGTTTGGAATTTTGGTCGTGGTTGTTTGCTCGACTGAGTCCTCCATTAGGACTATTGCTGCGTCGTCTGACTGACACGATAGGTACCCACGAACCCGGGGACCCTGGACCCTGGGACCTGGGATTTCTGGCTCGGCGGTCCTCCCTCCCTCCCTCCCTCCCCTCGCCTCCCATCCTGCTAATTGATTTAGTCTCTACAGATACCTTACCTTAATTATTCGCTGGAGCACATGGGCGACTAAGCTTCCGAGGTTACTCACTGGCCAAAAGCCTGCGTGGGATTGACAGAAAAGAACCCCCTTTTAGAAGTGTTTAACTTTGGGACCTGGCGCTTTCTTCCCCGATTTGCTACCGGATGTCGGGACGTTCTCAAGGAGGGGAGGGGAGGGGAGCAGCAGGGGTGGAGAATGGAAGACGGCGAATGGCCTTTTTATCGGCCGATAAAGGGGAAACCTAGAGGAAGGGGTCACCGAATCGCCGGGACTGGTTACTAGTTACTATCAAGAATCATCTTTCTTATGATCTCTCGAACCTTTACAGGCGTTTCTTCTTTTTTTGTTGTAATTTCTGGCGTAATTCTTTTCCAAGCCCTTCCATCTAGCGGGTGTGGGCTGCTGCATGAGGAGGGGTAAAAGCAAATGGATACATGCACAACGTTTTCAAAAGGTCAGAACCAACGAAGTGTTTTTTTTTCTTCTGCTTCAGCCATGTGCAAACGGCTGCAGAAAAGGAAAACAGGGTGCCTCAGCTGCGGGAGAAGATGGAAAGAAACAAGAAGCGGATCGCAGGTTCAAGAGGGAAAATAAGCCCGAAGTTCCCCAATCAACTACCTATCGTCACCAACCGGAGGTCTTTAGAAGCAAGAAGAGACAAAGAGATGCCAATGTGACATCTGACACGAGAAAAAGAGAGAGGGGTGGTGGGAAGAAAAAGCTCCCATGTGGCTCGGAACCGACAGCCTAGACACACATGTCCAACACCACCACCAGGCTTTCCCTCTCCGAGGATCAGAACTTTTATGCAACCATGCGGACCACCGTATGCGGTGGGAAGCTGCGAAAGTAAGTTGGTTGGCATCGGGACAAAGAAGAGCTGGTGGAATGGAAGAACGTGATTTGCCTATAACAGGTGGGGAGAGCTGGAGTCGCATCCTCTAACACACACTTTAGGAACCCATGCCTTCTTCATACATGAACAAATGAGAGTATCTTCTCGCTCAGCTAGTGAAGCAGATGCTTTCTCTATGGCCTCTCACCACCTTAACCCAAGGTAAGTAAGTTCCAATGGTTGACTATCCGCAGCCTCACGTACCCGACGTTGGAACCGCCCGAAAGACGGTGTGACGGACGGGTCCACGGAAAGGAAAGGCCCAGTCTAGGCAAATGCAGCGGGGCGTGATGTGCATGTGCACTACACCAACAACAACTTAACAAGCCAGCCTGCATGGTTGTCTGTCCCGCCCCTCGGGATCTGAATGGGCGGAAAGGTTTGGCACTAGCTTTACTGTGCCGCACAGAAAACGCCCAGAGCTTAGAGGCGAGAAGCTGTCCCCGGTTCTCGGGCCCTGTTCCCAGCTTTTTGCTCTCGTTGAGTCGTTGAAGCAGAAGGAGGAAGAGACATAAATGTATGAGATAGGTGAGAGTGTGAGTTGCGAGTTTGTGAACCAACCACTTTGCCCAACCATAGCCCAAGGCAGATTGTCTGCCCCTTTCATCCGACACACATTCCTCTCTAGCTGTTTTTCTTAGTTTCGTTTGAAACCAAGACATGGGAATTCCTCCTCCCGGGAAAGACATAATTTTGCCCGTCCCAGAAGGCTGGTTCGTCGTGTTCTGTTGTGCTGTGTCGTGTCGTGAGTGAGCATGTGCGTCCGTGTTCCATGTCTGTGTGCCCTGCCTGCACTGCACGGCTGGAAGCTGATATGTCACAAATTTGTTCATCTCTTGCCAGGTTACAGTCACACAACAGAAATGGGCATTTTTTCTGTATTACCCTATCGGCACTCAGCAGCTTTCGCTCCATCACGCACGCACGCAACGCTGTTTCTTCTCGACCGTAATTGTCGAGATGCATCGAGGTAGATGTCCATTCGCTTCCCGCCTAGACCCAGATTTTGGCGAGGCGAGGTGGGTTGAAGTTGTAGTGAGGGGGTATGGACGATCATGGGAGACACCGAGGTCCGGACACAATTGCCCGGCAAACATGAATTGTGTTTCGCTCCTCTGCTTCACGTCACTTCCATGTGATGATCGCCGGCGGTACGGATTTTTCATTGAATACCAGTATTCAATCGGGCGTTGGAGAAAGATCCAGATCAGGTTTCAGTACGGAAAGTTTGGTGATCGTTCATTGGCATTCCAGTGATGGAATCATGCTTTCGCTATCCGGTCACGTTTGACTATGTACCGCTTGCTGCTGCTGTCCGTCTGAACTCTTAAGACTGCCCGAGACTCGCTAATTTCCGCTGCCGATCAGACGTGCGGATAGTTTGAATAAGAAACCCTGTCCAACCCTGTCAAAGGCCATGGGTCTGCCCGAGTCACCAACCTGTTGGTTCCAAGAGAAGTATGTAAACCACCCGCGAGCATATAATAAGAGCTGCGGTAAACTCCGTTGCTCGCCAGAGCGATGTCGTTCGTCTGCTCGAGTCCCAGGATGTCGGAACCACGGGCGCCAGGACAGAATGGAAACCTGGGCAAGACCCCCCATCGTCCCTGACCCTACGTATAATGGGGGTGACTGTCGCGAAATTTCCAGCTTCGCTTTGATGATTCCTTTTGCCAAGTCAACCCTCCGGCAGGCAAATACTTGATCAGCGTACGGAGGTAGTCAGTACCTTCCGGTCTAGGCATCTCGCCCTTCCCCGGAGTTCCCACATCCAACCAGGCAATAGGTGCCAAGGTGGGAGCCGGAGCGCGTTTGCGCCGAGGCGATATGCGTCTATTGCGTGCCGAGAACCGCGTAAGCTTGGAGCTTTAGTCCATGGTCGATTATGGTACAAAGATCCTCTGCTGTTTCTCTTCTCGCCAAATTCCGGTCATTTTCTTAGCTGTCTTGACTAGCGGTTTGTCTCGTTGTGATGTTTGACTCGTGATGCCCGGCATAATTTTCCGTCCGGTGAGTGGTAGATTTTATTTCGATAATCGAGACTCGGAGGTGAGGCTTCTTGTGGTCTACTTCGTTGACATATCCGCCCGTTTCCCACCTTCCCTTCTTCTCCTCCAAGACCCTCACAACATATCTTTAGTGAAATCCCCAGTACTATGCAGACCTCAGCTAGCATAATTCGGTGATGCCTTGGTCAATGATTTCTCTTCGTAAGGCTTGACCCCAGGTCAAGCGTGCCTTGGACCTCCATTTCCGTTTCCCTTCGTATCGTTGTGCCCAGGACCAAGAGTTCGAAGTGTATCCGCGACATCCGGCTTTGGATCCAATAACGAGGCTCATTGGAAGCCGAAATCGCATAGATCCTGTCCAGTTTCCCGGGTGGGTGCCACAATCTTCTCTTCTTTTCATCTGAGACGTTTCCCCTTGTCATATGGCCAAACTCGGTGATAAGTCGCGCGAGCGCAAAGAAAAGATTCAGACGGAGAAAACTCCTCCGCCTCGCCCTTCTCTGGGTTTTCGTCGTCATCGTCGACATACGTGATATTCTCACCCAAAAGCCACGCGGTAAACCTTTCAATGACCCCTCTTCTTCGCCCTTTCAGCCCGCACGATAAACTCCTCAAAGCTCACCGCGTCAGCACTCTTCCGGCCGACATCGTCGTCAACGCGCACAACACGGCCCCAGCCCTTGATAAGAGCCCGCCAGTAACACACCTCCGCGGCAGGGCTCAGATACCCTCGACCAGAGAACAACGCCCGCTGCCGTCTCGCAATCCCGCGCGCCACGTCCGGGTGATCCTCCAACCACCGGACCGTCGCCTCCAGGTCCGACCAGTCCGGCTTGACAAAGACCATGTTGGCCTCCTCTGCGCGGAGTGTCGTCGGCCACTGCTCCAGTGTTCTTGGTGAGAGTTGATGCTGCTGCTGATGTCGCTGCTGCTCATCCCGCGGCTTGGCTCCGAAAGAAGCAGTCTCGGGCAACTCTGACTGGCCTCCTGATAGTAGGGAACTCGAGTACACCGGCTCAACGAGGTGCGTCGTATGCTGCATCCACTCCAGCGGCGGACTCAACACCACGCTCTCGCAAAGCTGATGAAACTGCAGCCGGCCAGAGTACGACACGCCCCCGGTGTGGATAATGTACTTGTACCTGCAAAAATCTTCAATCGCCAGCGCGTTCGTCGCGTTCTCCCCGTTGTTCGTCCACTCGAGCGCCTGCACGTCGGCCCATCCCGCGTCCTTTGTGAGCTGGATGAGGTCCTGTCGGGATCGCGGGTTCGCACTCGCGCCGTTGTTGAACCACGACGTGCCGCGCCACACGGCCCGGGCATTCTTCTTTTCGAACGGCAGGCTGGCTTCGATCTCGGCGATGGCGGAGGCTGCGTGCGGGAGGGAGCGGATGAAGGGCTGGGTCCATGCCCAGAAGGAGAAGTGGGGGATGGGGAAGGTGTGTCGAGGGGACGAGGAGGAAGAGGACGAGGTCCGCGCCGGACGGCTGTGGGACCAGGTGTGTTTGATGGGCGTGTCCTGGATGTAGAGGTTAAAGTAGGTGTCTGGTAGAGGGGTTGGTGAGGTGAGAATGGCGCGGTGTAGCTGGTGGAGGGCGGCGCTTTGTCGCTTGGTCTTTGTGTTAGTTTCTGAGATTCAAGATCTTTCCATCTCCCTCTGCTTGGAGGTGGAAAGTGTGTGGCATTGGAGCGGAACTCACCTCGATCCATTGATCAGACATGTCCACAGGTCTCGGCGCCTGCAGTATCAGTATTCTATCGTCTTTGATCTGCCCCAGCAGCGAGGCGGAAGCGTCGCCGAGTCCGAGCTGGAACTCTCCCTCGGCCGCGGCCAGGTCAATCTCCTCTGTCAGGCCGGGAAACGTCGCCTGGCATTGTTCCTCGTTTAGGTGGAGGTGTTCGAAATCAGATGCCGCTCCAGTCGCAAGGCCGGCCTTCTTTTTCCAGTCAAAAGACACCGCCGTGGAGTGATGTCCTGTTAGGGGATTCCAAAGCCTCTCTCGCGGATAAAACAGAACGTAAGTGACAAGGACGAGAGTGGCTGCCACGAAAACTGGCCCTAATCGCCGCGCGGCCTTTCTTTGGCGCATTGTTCTTTCACTTTTCTTTGCTTCCTTCCTGGAACGACAGATTATAACATCATCTCAAAGTTTGGTTGAAATGTAATCGAGAGAGAATGGAAATTGAATCTGAAGCAATGTGGTCTGAAGTCGGTATTTCAGATGGTTTGACCGGTCACTTCAAACCGAGGTGTCCCCTGCTCTCAACATGCGACACTGCTGGGGAGCGGGGTCTCCCGCGAAAGAGAGTTTTGCAGCATATAGACGAACCCAAGTGTTAGGAAAAGCAAGTCACTGTCGCTTTATCGGAGACTCGATCCTATGAAGTAGGACCAAACACCTACCATGCCAAGAATCATTGGCTGTATCAGGCGGGGCCGGATATTCGGCATGCAAAGCGATTCGAAAGACACAACTCAAGCTTCCCTGAATTGTGCCGCGGCGACAGAAAGGACCAGGAAAGACTTCCGTACGAGGAAATCAGGAACGTTCGGGGCCGAAATTTTGACCATGGCCTGATTCATCCCCGCCAAGCCGTCAGCGAATCTGTGGTGGGAGTTTGGGTGGCAGGTCCTCCCTCAAAGGATATGCCTTGAAGAGAAGGAGTGTTGTGTTCAGGCGGGGGATCTCGACGCCAATTGGCCTGGAGGTTACTTTCCCCAAACACATGCTCGTCCTAGTCCACCAATCATCTTACACATTGATATTGACCCGTTGCAACGTCCCCCGGATTTCCGCTAGACTGCCGCTCTCCCAGCGGAACCGAAAACTCATTGACATAGCCACGGGACGAAGCGTCTTGAGATTTGAAGCTTGTGGTGGCTGTGCCATCCTCTGCAGTCCCGTGCTGATGGCAGGCTTGACCAGGTATGTCGCAAGTATACAGGTAAGAACAAGACTGGTCACAGCTGCCCTGGTTGACGAAAGGAGGAAAGAAAGTCCTGCCGTGGGGAGCTCTGCGCTGGAACCATCGGTAGCACCGGTAGCACCGACAGATCAAAGTAGACCTGGCCTAGAATTCGCCGAAGAAACTGAGGTAGGTGAGCAGAGGTTTTGGCATCATGCCTAACTCCGTGCTGTGCACTGAAAGTCACGAA